TGGAGGGCAAGCGTGAGAGCGGAGGAGATTTTGTGGGTGTATATAAGGAAGCTGAAGTGGAGGAAGTTAGAACGAGTAACATTTGGGATGATGGCTTAGTGGGTACATGTGAATCACGATCGAGTTCGAAATTTGAAACGGTGATTGCTTCTGTTTATCCTTCCTTTGATGTTGATGACTCTATGCTGGACTCAAGAGTAATCAGTTCTGGAAATGTTAAAAACGAAAGAGTCTCCCTTGCTTCTTCTAGTGAGATTTCCACGTGTGCGGATATGAATGATTCTGATAGAATGAGTGTTTCTTCTTCTCCGTTGGATGCTAAGGATAGAAATATTGAGGAGAATTTAACAATAGCCGAATTGGATAAGGGAAATTTGGACAAGGGTATGATTGATCATAAAAATGACGAGGTTGGTGGTGGGGATGGAGATGATGATGATGATGACGATGGGAGTTCAATGAGTGACATTTCAGAACTTGTAGAAGAAAGACTTGGGCAACTGGAGAGCGAGAGGATTAATAAAAGAGCTGAAAAGAAGTTTCAGGCATCCAAGAAGCCACTTGAATTGGCGGAAGAGTTGGAGAAAAAACAGGCTTCTACTGGTTTGCACTGGGAAGAGGGTGCTGCTGCTCAACCCATGAGGCTTGAGGGTGTTAGGAGGGGTTCGACAACCTTGGGTTACTTTGACATTGATACCGATAATACCATTACACGAACCATTTCATCACAGGCATTCAGGCGAGATCATGGTTCCCCACAGGTTTTGACGGTTCATCTAAATTATATTGCAGTGGGGATGTCAAAAGGAGTTATTGTTGTTGTGCCCAGCAAATACTCCACTCATGGTGCTGATAACATGGAGTCAAAGGTTTTTTTTGTGCCTCATATTTGTAATGCTTTTGTCACTTGTGAAGATTACTTAAAACTGAAGTAGATTTTTAGTAATATTATTTGAATGTCTTTGGAATGGTACTTTGAAAAACAAATTGTTATGGCATGTAAACTAATATTTGTCACCATTTAATGAATTCTGCAAGCCAAGTTAAACAAATTATGTAAAATTTTCTTTTGTCCATGAAAGTTTTTCTCTGGTTTGTTTAAATCTGTTGATTAAACTGTTATCTTTGAATATAACAATTGTCCCATTAATTTTTTTGCTAAAAGTTGTTCAACCTGCTCCTGCAGATAATAAAACTAGCTTATGGTTTTGTTTGATACTAAACTATGTCCTATCAGGTTGAAGATGTATATATCTGGCATCATCATCTAGTATTACTGCAACCTTTTTATACATCCATGTCCCCAGAGTATATTCATGCAGTAGGCTTTCCATAACTTTGGCATATTTATGCAGTTTGTACTATTTTTTATTAGAATGTTATCCATGTCAATATTACAAAAGCAAATGTACATATATATATGTGCACATATACATTTTTCAAATAGGGTCAAGTAGGACATACACGTTATTGATCCAACTTTTTCATTCAAAAATCAATCTTTCAGGCCGTAAATGGATTAAATATTTCATTTAGCAAAGTGATACTTCTTTCAAAGAAGACTTCTATGATATCTGAAACAATAATAGGTGAAGTTCATACATTAAACTACCTACATATATTCCAGATGTTGTTTCTAGGTCTGCAAGCTGAAAGGTGCTATGCTCCAGTTACTTCCATGTGCTTCAATCAGCAAGGTGATTTGCTCTTAGCTG